TTAAACTATGAATTTGCTCTGCCATCACAGCGTCAATTTGTTTGGTATCCTGTAGATAAAAATGTAACATTTTATAGGTCTGTCCTGCTATACGTTTTTTTTTCGACCAGTTCACTTGCCACTGACGTAGCTTCATTACCCAGTCTCAAAGTATTGATATGCTTCGAAGATTTTGTAGGCTTTCACATCCTTAACATTTGAAGTTGAGATATTGTTCACCATGTAATGATATATATCATAAGTTGATCAATGTAAGTTCACACGGAATCACGTGACCGCAAAAACCTCGATACAAGTATACCTACGTATGTCAGATGTGACTCCTAGAGGACGTGAGAAGTGATAGTGATTCTAGAATCCTTGATTAGTTGTAGAGATTCCAGGGCCCATGAATGGTGGCAGTAACTACAGGTCTCTTGAATAGTTGTAGGGACTCAAGGGTCCATGAACGGTGGTAAGGATTCTGGAGTCCATAAATACTGGGGGACTCCAGGGGCCCATGAATAGTGATAGTGACTCGGGTTCATGAATGGTGGCAGTGGCTCCAGAGCCAGTAATACAATATTATTATTATTATTATTATTATTATTATTATAATTATGGACGGGGCTAAACCCGGAGGATTATACAGCGCCTTTTTAGGGGGGGGGGATGGAGGGCATTCAGGCAACTGGAGCACAGATCCAATTCCCTAGATCAAGAGCCCCTCACCAGCGTCATACTGTGAAAGGACCTTAATACGGTACTAAATTTTATTTGTACTCATCAGTTAAGGTCTGTTACACAATTTCTGTCTTTCATGGTGACAATGAGTATCATGTATTTATATCAAAATAAAGGCAGAGGAGCAGCTACCAGTTTCACTCATTGACTTCACATGCAAGAAGTGTAAGATAATTTACTTTTATTATATTCACTGAAAGGCACTAAACCCTAGAGGGTCATACAGAAACTGGGGAATGGATAATGAGGTTTGATCCAAGGAAGGGGAGAAATGCTTCAGTTTCTTCGATCAAGTACTTTAATAGCATTGAGGTATTCCTCTGAAGGAGTTTACTCATGAATTCTTCGTTAATTTGATAGCCAGATAATATCACTCATAGTTATTATGAGAGAGATAGTCATCGCATTACCATCCTGTGAGAGGTAGTCATCTCATTACCATCCTGTGAGAGGTAGTCACCTCATTACCAACCCGTGAGAGGTAATCACCTCATTACCAACCCGTGAGAGGTAGTCTCCTCATTACCATTCTGGGTGAGGTAGTCACTTCATTACCATCCTGTGAGAGGTAGTCAACTCATTACCATCCTGTAGAAGGTAGTCCCCTTATACAAATCCTCTAGGAACTAGTCACCCCACGCCAATCCTGTAGACCTGATAAGCGTGATGAAGCATGCGAAATTGAAGTTATAACAATGTCAACTTTTCTAGTTTAGTTTATACAAAAAAATGGCATAATCCGTAAATCATGGTGATGCATAGCGGACCCTGTCACAATTTTTATCAGTTATTGCTGATTATCACAACCGTCTTGTTAACGCGTCTGGTTTTAATTAATCTCACCTAGTGCTGAAAAGTCTTACATAGCGTTAAATCCGTTGCAGAATTATTAAAAAAAAAAAAGGTAAATTCCTAGGGGTTATTCATTTAGAATATCATTAAGAAGTGTCGACGTTAGAGGTAGAAGTGGAAATGGTGAACTGTGCTAAAAAGAATCGTCTTATTTTTTTGCATTAATTAAGGGTGAGACCTTCCGAGGCTGTGTATTACATAGAAATAAAACACAACAGCAAAAAATATACATAATTTATTTGAAAAGCTGCTGTACATGATTTAATATCATTTGTCAGATTACCTTAATATGCCGTGCATTTAATGTTACATGCTTTCATGTGGTGTGACAACATGGCTGCAGCGAGCCTTGTGGTCATGAGAAGCTTGTCTGTTCTCTGCCTGCATGAGTGACATGAAGGAAATATACTGGTAGACAACGTAGAAATATTCTTTGTGTGTGATGACACGAAGGAAAACTAACAACCTAATTTAAGCAAACAAGTGCCTCGTGATCTTGTACTTTCTATGTTGGCCCAACACATGACTTGTACTCTGAAGTACACTGTTACTATATGGCTACACCGGCTTCATGGCCACATACTGTGAGGTTGTAATTTCTTATGCGACACTCGACTGCGAGGCTAGTTAACACAGAAACCACAAACTTTGGAGCAGAAATAGCCTATGATAAGTGACCGATAAGCTGATTGCAGACCTCAAGTTTGAAAAATATTTTATCATACATTACCATACCTTACTGTAACATTAGAATTATTAGGCTACAACTCATGTATTAACTTTAAACAAGCTTCAAGCAACAGTGATTGGTAAATAAGAGCACAGATAAGGCATAACCTTAATATTTACTGTTGGTTGTCATGGTAATCAAATATTCCATGGGTTTAAATGTAATATATCCTCTTAAGATATATGTGTGAACACATATGTTAAGGTATTTCTGTTATTTTTAACTGTGGTATTTTTTGCATATGTGCAGTCATACGTTGTACTGCAATATCGCCCCCAACACACACAGTGTATATGTCGTGCTTAATAAAACCGAATTGGCCAATAAGACCGAACTGCCTTAAAAATTGAACTTTTCCAAAACTTCCTTTTATGGATTAGCAGATATATTTTCCATTAAACATGGTGTAAAAAAATATTTTGGCACTCGACCTAACTTACAAACCTCGTATTAGGTTAGTTAAGGTTTGTCAGGAAACATGACAAGTGTTTCCTGACACGGGTCTTAGTCAGATGATGACCCATCTTTGGAGCTTTGGTCATCTGACCGAGGCCTTCCGCTGGCTTACCGGTCCACCCCTTTAAAAATTATGGTCAGTTATAACCATTTTAATTATCTGTAAGTATACAAACCTCATATTATTATTATTATTATTAAAGATTAGCCGGTATTCTCCCGGCCCGGGCCTTTTCCAAGTGGTGGCCCGGCCTTGGCTCCCTCTTTAGGGAGTGTCTGAGGCCTAAGTCTCCCATGGGAGGAGGCACAAGTACCTCCTCATCTATGGGACCAACTGTCCCCAGGCCTAGCCACAAGCTAGGCCTCTCTGGTCTGCCATCCCCGCCCCAAGGGGGCAAATGGGAATGACAGTCTTATGAGCTAAAGGCTCGGACTCAGGCACCTACCCTACCCTAGAAGGGTTAGGCATGGTATCGATGAAATCTCATATATCCAAACCTAACCTAATTTAATTTTTATCCACATTCTGCTAAATATATCACAGATTATTGTAAATTTATTTAATATTACTTAAATTCAATATGTATATTTTTATCTATGTTCAGATTGATTTTTGCAGATTTAGTGCTTAAAATCTTTTTTTATTTTGCTTATTAGGCAGAACTGACCCATGCTTTTTAGGCCTAACTGACCGGTTCGGTTTATTCGGCATATATATATATATATATATATATATATATATTATAATATATATATATATTATATATATAATATATATATATATATATATAACCTTTGTTTTGTTAGTTTCTTCATCTACAGGTCGTCTTATAATAAAAAAAATAGTTAGAAATCTATTATAAAAGTTATAGCTATAAACAGCGATACTACAGCTATACACTGCAGTGCTGCAACTGTACTCAATGTTGCAAGTGCAATCGATGAAGTTACAGCTAATAAGTTATGTTAAAACTAAACAACAATGATAGAAGTTACGCTAGTGTCGAAGCTATGCAAGTTATGTGCTGGAGCATTGTTCTTGTTCCCACACTTCAGCATGTGTCCAGCACAGCCCATTATGTACACACTTCTCTTCACTGTACCACGAAAAACACGCGCACACATGCAAAATTAATATATATAAATTTCTTTCTTTCAACAAACCGGCCGTATCCCACTGAGTCGGGGAGGCCCAAGAGGAAAAACGAAAGTTTCTCCTTTTATACTTAGTAATATATACAGGAGAAGGGGTTACTAGCCCCTTGCTCCCGGCTCTTACGACACGCATGGCTTACGGAGGAAGAATTCTCTTCCATTTCCACTTATATATAAATATATATATATATATATATATATATATTATATATATATATATATATATATATTATATATATATAAAATATATATATATATATATATATATATATATATATAATATATATATATATAATAATATATATCTATATATATCTATATATATATATATATATATATATATATATATATATATATATATATATAATATATATAATGTCGAATAGGTAAAATTGGTCAGTTAGCAAGAACTCATTTAAAATTAAGTCCTTTATAAAACTTTCTCTTATACGTTTAAAGATATATTTTTTCATTTATGTTAATGCAAAAATTAATACTTTTGTACCAAAAGAACCTTAGAAAGCTTACTTAATCTTATTATAAACAGCGCAATTTAATTTAACCTAATCCAACTAAATATATTTTAGATAAGTTTACAGTAATTTAATGATAAAGACACAATATGTATTTTTTTCGTTAGGTTCAGAATGATTTTTGCGAAATTATTGCATATACGAATTTTCGCTTGCCTTATTCGGCAAGAACGTTGCTATTTAAGCCAAAATCGCAAGTTTTACCTATTCGGCACGATATATATATATATATATATATGTTGTGTATCTCTATACATATATGCTTCTAAACTGTTGTATTCTGAGCACCTCTGCAAAAGCAGTGATAATGTGTGAGTGTGGTGAAAGTGTTGAATGATGATGAAAGTATTTTCTTTTTGGGGATTTTTTCTTTTTTTTGGGTCACCCTGCCTCGGTGGGAGACGGCCGACTTGTTGAAAAAAAAAAAAAAAAAAAAAAAAAAAAAAAAAAAAAAAAAAAATATATATATATATATATATATATATATATATATATATATATAATATATATATATATATATATATATATATATATATATTTATTTATTAGGAGTGCCCTAATGACCCTTTTAATATTAACCCGAAATCTGAGGACATTTTCAATAGGATGTACATATCTCACAGCACTGAAGATGATTATGCCTACAATAGGAAAAGATGATCGACATTCCTAAAGGATCTCAACATTTTATTTTTTATTGTGATAAGTCAAGGGATCCTGGGATCATTTTAAGCCAACACATATTAGCTGGTGAATCGCAAACTAAATGAGATTGGATTACAAATTCTTATGCGATGGCGACGAGAGTAGTTTAATATTTATGTCATTTCATCTAATGTTTAGGAAGTAGTGGTGAGGTGGCCATGAAAACACTTATATAATTCGCGTTTTATCCAGTGCTTGTGATGAAGGTGAACTTTTCATAAAATGATTACATATACACAAGATCACCTTCCATTATATCGTTCCCAAATCTTCCTCAATAATCTGGAGCTCAGAGTTCGGGCGGGCGCTGTCTCAGCTGCCTTGCGTCACTGCATGTAAGGCCTTGCCCGTGCCCCTGATCTTCCTGACCACAGCCACGATCACCACCACGAAGAACACCACGGCCACGATGGCTAGGATTACCCCAGTGATCACCGAGGCGTTGGACGTCCTCACTGGCTGCACGATGGCTTCACTCACTCCTGAAGCAGCGACGACGATGACGGTGGTAGTAGTGATGCAGGGGTTGTGGTGGGGGTAGTGTATTGGATGTATGTTGGACGTAGTGACGGTGGAGTGGGAGTGATGATAATGTTGGGGTAGTGGAGGTAGTGTAGTTAGTAGCACAGATGTAGTTAGCAGTACATGTGTAGTTAGTAGAACAGATGTTAGCAGTGGTGGTGTAGTGGTAGTGGCGGTGGTGGTGGTGATGTAGTAGTGGTGGTGGTGATGCAGAGGTAGTGATGTGGTGGTAGCGATGGTGGTAGAGGTGTGGTGGTGATTTAGTGGTAGTGATGTAGTGGTAATGGTGTAGTTGTTGTGGCAGTGGTGTAGGGGTGGTAGTTGTAGTGACGTAGTCAAGAAGAAAAAAAAGTTAAAGTTAGTAAACATTACACCTGTTGTAAGACTGCTTATGGCTAATACATATGTAATTCAATAAAATGGTATAACCATAATTTAAAATGAACGCAGGATAAGTTCCTAACTTGCAACATACCTGAGGGAAATCTCATTCTTAATCATACAGAGCAACTGTGATAATGAAAAATGAGGAAAAGTGGGAAGGGGGAGTAGAAGAGGAAGGAAGAAAAAACGAGAGAGAAGGAGGAGCAGAAGAAAAGAAAGATGAAAACTATGACTATGACAATGCGGATGATAATGATGATGCAGATGGTATTGATGACAATTAAAACTGATGATGAAGCATCATCAGGGACTCACTCCAGCCGACGAACTCCCCCCGGTTCTGTGACTTGAGCCAGGCGATGAGAGGGGCAAAATACTCCAGGATGGGCTTAACATCCAACTTGCTCGTCTTGCCGCTTGTCAAAATCAACAGCGCCTCCGTCCAGGGCCGAGACTTGCCAAGTGATAATACGTTCCTGCAGTGAATGAAGTTGCATCTAAGTTATGCAGAAGCTAAACAAAACAGTAATGCTGTTAAATTATGGTGTTTAAACTATACACACTGTATGCTGGAACACCGTTCTTCCCCATTTCCCTGTTATACACAAAGTAGAGAATGGGAGGTAATGAGGTTTGATCTGGAGACGGGGAAGTGAGAAGTGCTGAAGTTCAGGGAATGTTTGTGTGAGCCATAGGGACATAGGAAGAAGAATCACAGAAGAAAAGTCACATACAATCTAGATAAGCCAACCACACAGCCATACTCCAGATCAAACCTAACCTTGTACAAGTTAACCATTTATTCCTTAACGTTAACTATTAATGTACTATGATATAGTGCCTGTACTCTTAAGAAATAGAGATGTGCACTTCGGAGGATCTGTCGTGGGGGTTCGAAAGGAGATATGATGGTTGAAGATAAACACACTTGTGGATGGTAACACTATATATTGTCAGACTGTGGTAAGGGAAGGGCCCAGCCTGCCGTGTTGCTGCCTGGTAGGTCTAAGCATGGACTGAGAGCAGGTAGCGCATCCCACTCACTCATGCCGCATCCTGTGACGTCATACAGTCACTAGGCCTAGTAGGGATCATCTATATAAAACATATGGATGGTACTATGATACTCAGCTAAGCTATACAACACATGAAAGGGGATCAGCAACTATGCTGACAGCTCGGTCATATTAGGTATGTCGTCTCAACATACAATACTATGCTATAGGCTGAACAGGAAGGTGGTTCAGGGCTGATTCTATACAATAACAAAGACATATGTAACTTAGAACTAATGGATGGTATCATAATGGATGTTAACATAATGAGTTTTAACATAATGGGCGTTAACGTAATGGGTGTTAATGTAATGAGTTTTAACGTAATGCATTACGACTTATAAGAACAAATCATGGTATAATATAGGATGGAATTGATCGATCGATCTGTATTCATGCACTCTATGGATTCTGAGGAAGAATAAATATATATATACAAGGTGAAATTAACAGCAAAGGCAAATCTGGTGCACAGATCAGTATTGCTAAATTCTCAGAATACGGAGGGAACGTGAACACAAAAAATTTCTGAAAAACTGATCAGCTAATAACAAGACAGACAGTTGACAACTTCATTCATCTCGGACATCTAATTATACAGGCTGTATACATTTAAACCCAATTCTGCGAGGGTAAGATTTGCATATGCAGAATGGTTATCATCTTTGGGTGGATCAAATTCTTCTGCAATGGCTAACACATGCCTTGACTGAGGACAATCTGAACGAGTATCTACAAAAGATACAGCTACATTCACTAGTGACTAGAATTACTAACTCTTCTGCTAGGAGTACTCAACTTGGCTGTTCGATACAGTAATTCTTGGCTCATTATAAAGTCACTAATGGGTGCTGGTGGCTTCACAGTCAGAATAAGATCTTCCTGGAGCAGGAATCGAATCACACCAGACCACAAGGGATCGGTTCTTTCTTACTGGAGGAATGAACAAACTCAGTGGAGTGGATGACTCTCCCCGGTTGAAAAAAATAACGCTATAACATGCAATATGAGCAAGGGAGAACGAATCTACTATCTCTCACTGCAAGCACCGACCACAAAATGTCCATCGTCAGCTGCGAGAATTTATCTCCGTGCATCGGCGTAATTATAAATTTTACGCCCACACCGCTGGCACCAATTTGTCGTGGGGGTTCGAAAGGAGATATGATGGTTGAAGATAAACACACTTGTGGATGGTAACACTATATATTGTCAGACTGTGGTAAGGAAAGGGCCCAGCCTGCCGTGTTCCTGCCTGGTAGGTCTAAGCATGGACTGAGAGTGAGGTAGCGCAGTTGCAATATACACAACGAGAAGCAATTATTACTACAGAAAAAGCGTCCTTCCTCCAAAATTTCCACCAGTCAACTATAGTGATAATATAGCATTTATTGTGGTGGAGACGAAAAAAAACTAGAAAAGCTAGATACAGCGATTGATAAACAAGGGTTGAGGCTCGACCGTTCGTCACTGTAGGAGCTGCCAGAAATCACCGGCTCTTCAACATGCAAGTTATACTTTTGTATCAATCAAATCACATATTACTCGGGTAGATAATTTCAAGTAGATCCTTCATGTGTTAGCCCAAATCACCGACCAGTATGTTTTAAATAAGTGACCCACTGATCAGATCAGATCGACTGGTCCAAACCCTCGACTGGTCCGAACACTTGATGGTCCGAACCCTTCACTGGTTACAAATGGATTCGTTGGACAATAAAGCAGACTGTAAACGGATGGGGTTGTAGGCGCCTTTATCAAACACAAACAATAAATATAAATCAGGAACGTACATGGTAAGCTGTCCAATATACAAGTACAGTTAGAAATAGAAATACAAATAGCTAGAGCTTCACTTAAGGAGGTTATTAATAGAATATTCAAGAGGTTGCTAGTAGAATTACAGTAAATCAACCATTCAAATCATTATGAAGCTCTGTGTAGTCTGCAGTCAATCAAACAAACGGGCTTCCACATGGATAAATTGTCATTTTTGTGGAAATTGGTGTCACGCCCCTTGTGCAGATATCCAAGAACTAGCGACAAGCAGTATTAAAACAGGGAAGTGTTTTTGGGTATGCCCAAATGAGGAAAATCTGTGGACAAAAATCACAAGGGTATTAAAAGAGGATAACATCAAAGCTGCTTTCATAGACAACCTGGAAGCTTTCTACAACAGATGGGAACATAAAAAGTCTGGGCTGAATGGTACTGCCCTTGATACTGGCCATGTAGTCAGAAACTGTAAGGCTGGAGGTGATGTCCTGGTAGTCAGTAAATGTGGGGCTGACAGTGCTGTCCTGGGAGATAGTAATGGTAAAGCTGGAGGTGCTGTCCTGGGAGACAGTAACGGTGAAGCTGGAGGTGCTGTCCTGGGAGACAGTAATGATGAAGCTGGAGGTGCTGTCCTGGGAGACAGTAATGGTGAAGCTGGAGGTGCTGTCCTGGGAGACAGTAATGGTGAAGCGGGAGGTGCTGTCCTGGGAGACAGTAATGGTGAAGCTGGAGATTTTGTCCAGGTAGTCGGGAATTATACACAGGAAGGAATACATATAAATGACCTCATAGGGGACAGGAGCCGTAGTGGGGAAACAAGTGTAGTCAAAGATAAGATAAAACCAATATTGCAAACTAGAAATACCACAGGAAATAGCAAACGAGGACTCCACTAGCAATAATGAGGATATATTACCAAAAACAACTGGTGGGAGCTCCATTGTTGGTGCTAGGGAGGATAGGAATAAGACAGGGAAACATGCACCAACAGGGAATACAGTCACAGAAACCCAAGGCAAACGGAAACCAAGCCTGTGCACATACTATGCACTTGGTATCTGCAGACATGGGAAATCTGGAAAAACAGACGGGACGTGCAACTATGACCACCCTAGAAAATGCCATGCCCATATGACAACAGGAAAATGCAAACTCCCTTCCTGTAAACTTTTTCACCCTGAAATGTGTACCTCTTCAGTACAGGAAAGACTGTGCTATAACTTAAATTGCCAGGCACACCATCTAAAGGGTACAAAAAGATACAAAACATCCAGGCCATGGGAAAACCTGGGTAGCCACAGCCACTCAAGAGGGAGAGGTTTTTTAGTGCCAGGAAGGAAAAAAACTGGCAGGAAATGGCAGAAATCGTACACCAAATCCAGTCATTCCTGGAGTGGAACCACAGTCGATGGCCTCCACTCCAAACCAACAGATACAGATACTAATGCCGGAAAAAAAAATCCCCCCCCAGTACCAACAATACCACCAGTCCGATGACATTCTTCTTTGCAAATACACAGGGTCTAAAGCCAGCAACAAACAACAAAATACCTTTCATCCGTGGACTGCTTGCAGAGGCAAAGGCAATGTTCGCGGCTTTCACTGAGACCCATATAAAGGATCACTTGGACAACGAAATATGGATCCCAGGTTACAACCTATACAGATGTGACAGAGTGAACAGGCAAAAGGGAGGGGGGGGGGTTGGCCTGTACATTGCAGAGTCACTTGTTTGCAAAGAATTGCTAAATGCCTCAAATGATGTAGTGGAAGTTTTTGGCAGTATAGGTCGAGAACCAAAACCTAGTCATTGTGGTAGTCTACAAGCCTCCAGATGCAACATCCCAGCAATTCCAGGAACAGCTGCTAAAAATTGACCACTGTCTGGAAAATCTTCCAGCTCCTGCACCCAACATCTTGCTCCTGGGGGATTTCAACTTAAGGCACCTAAAATGGAGGAATATAGCAAATAATAGTTGCAGTAATAACACCAGGAGGCAGCTCTGATGAAAACTCACACTCACACGAGCTTTTAAATCTCTGCACAAAATTCAATTTAAACCAGCAAATAATAGAGCCTACTAGACTGGAGAATACACTAGACCTCATCTTCACTAACAATGATGATCTGATAAGAAATATCACCATATCAAAAACAATATACTCAGATCACAACATAATTGAGGTTCAGACATGTATGTGTGGAGCCCCAGACCGACATAATGAGACTAGTCACGAGGGAGCATTCACCAAATTCAACTTCAATAACAAAAACATAAAGTGGGACCAAGTAAACCAAGTCCTAACCGATATAAGCTGGGAAGATATACTAAGCAACACAGACCCCAACTTATGCCTAGAACAGATTAACTTGGTGGCACTCGATGTATGCACACGGCTTATTCCTCTAAGAAAAAGGAGAAGTAGATGTAAAATAGAAAGAGACAGGTGCTCCCTTTACAGGCGACGGAAAAGAATAACAGAGCGGCTAAAAGAGGTCAATATATCTGAAATGCGTAGGGAGACACTGGTCAGAGAAATAGCAAGCATCGAACTTAAGCTAAAGGAATCTTATAGGAGTCAGGAATCGCGGGAAGAACTAAAAGCCATAAATGAAATCGAAAGAAACCCAAAGTATTTCTTCTCCTATGCCAAATCAAAGTCGAGAACAACGTCCAGTATTGGGCCCCTACTTAAACAAGATGGGTCATACACAGATGACAGCAAGGAAATGAGTGAGCTACTCAAGTCCCAATATGACTCAGTTTTTAGCAAGCCGCTAACCAGACTGAGAGTCGAAGATCAAAATGAATTTTTTATGAAAGAGCCACAAAATTTGGTTAACACAAGCCTATCCGATGTTATCCTGACGCCAAATGAGTTCGAACAGGCGATAAATGACATGCCCATGCACTCTGCCCCAGGGCCAGACTCATGGAACTCCGTGTTCATCAAGAACTGCAAGAAGCCCCTATCACGAGCCTTTTCCATCCTATGGAGAGGGAGCATGGACACGGGGGTCGTCCCACAGTTACTAAAAACAACAGACATAACCCCACTCCACAAAGGGGGCAGTAAAGCAACAGCAAAGAACTACAGACCGATAGCACTAACATCCCATATCATAAAAATCTTTGAAAGGGTCCTAAGAAGCAAGATCACCACCCATCTAGAAACCCATCAGTTACACAACCCAGGGCAACATGGGTTTAGAACAGGTCGCTCCTGTCTGTCTCAACTATTGGATCACTACGACAAGGTCCTAAATGCACTAGAAGATAAAAAGAATGCAGATGTAATATATACAGACTTTGCAAAAGCCTTCGACAAGTGTGACCATGGCGTAATAGCGCACAAAATGCGTGCTAAAGGAATAACAGGAAAAGTCGGTCGATGGATCTATAATTTCCTCACTAACAGAACACAGAGTAGTCGTCAACAGAGTAAAGTCCGAGGCAGCTACGGTGAAAAGCTCTGTTCCACAAGGCACAGTACTCGCTCCCATCTTGTTCCTCATCCTCATATCCGACATAGACAAGGATGTCAGCCACAGCACTGTGTCTTCCTTTGCAGATGACACCCGAATCTGCATGACAGTGTCTTCCATTGCAGACACTGCAAGGCTCCAGGCGGACATCAACCAAATCTTTCAGTGGGCTGCAGAAAACAATATGAAGTTCAACGATGAGAAATTTCAATTACTCAGATATGGTAAACACGAGGAAATTAAATCTTCATCAGAGTACAAAACAAATTCTGGCCACAAAATAGAGCGAAACACCAACGTCAAAGACCTGGGAGTGATCATGTCGGAGGATCTCACCTTCAAGGACCATAACATTGTATCAATCGCATCTGCTAGAAAAATGACAGGATGGATAATGAGAACCTTCAAAACTAGGGAGGCCAAGCCCATGATGACACTCTTCAGGTCACTTGTTCTATCTAGGCTGGAATATTGGTGCACACTAACAGCACCTTTCAAGGCAGGTGAAATTGCTGACCTAGAAAATGTACAGAGAACCTTCACGGCGCGCATAACGGAGATAAAACACCTCAATTACTGGGAGCGCTTGAGGTTCCTAAACCTGTATTCCCTGGAACGTAGGCGGGAGAGATACATGATTATATACACCTGGAAAATCCTAGAGGGACTAGTACCGAACTTGCACACGAAAATCACTCACTACGAAAGCAAAAGACTTGGCAGACGATGCAACATCCCCCCAATGAAAAGCAGGGGTGTCGCTAGCACGTTAAGAGACCATACAATAAGTGTCAGGGGCCCGAGACTGTTCAACTGCCTCCCAGCATACATAAGGGGGATTACCAACAGACCCCTGGCAGTCTTCAAGCTGGCACTGGACAAGCACCTAAAGTCGGTTCCTGACCAGCCGGGCTGTGGCTCGTACGTTGGTTTGCGTGCAGCCAGCAGCAGCAGCCTGGTTGATCAGGCTCTGATCCACCAGGAGGCCTGGTCACAGACCGGGCCGCGGGGGCGTTGACCCCCGGAACTCTCTCCAGGTAAACTCATGCAGCATCCCATGCCGTCATACAGTCACTAGGTCTAGTAGGGATCGTCTATATAAAACATATGGATGGTACTATGATACTCAGCTAAACTATACAACACATGTAAGGGGATCAGCAACTATGCTGACAGATCATTTGAATTGTGATGTCTGCGTACTTCTGGCAAGACAGCTACTGAATGGATTGTGAATGTGTATACATTTATACATATGTAAAACAACCAATGGAAAAAATAGTGAGTTTTTTTCAAAGTGGTGCTTACCTGAGGAGTGTACCAGCTTTGTGGGAGCGGTAGATGTCACAGTGGTGGAGAGGACCCACGTGTCCCGCGGCCTTGCACAGCTCAGCGTGAAACTGGAACTGCACTATGAAGCTGATAAAGTACCTGGTGGTGGTGCAAGAGACGCCAGGATAAGCTCTCAGGTGCTGTGGTTTGTCTGATATTATTACAGTCATAGTTACTACATATAACCAGCATTTAGGAAAGCATAAATAACTCGTTACGATTGTAACTAGTGTATATAAACATGTAACTAGCTCATTACCACTGTAACTTGCTCAGCTATCAAAACTGCATCCCAGTTCCTGGACCCATTATGTACCTCTGTAATCTTTTGACTACCGCCCACAGGATGGGTATGAGGTGCATAATAAAGATATTAAACTGATTATTAAAGGAAACTTATGACGACGATTCTATCCGTCCTGGACCATTTTGTCAGGTTACAACAGTGACTTGAAAGTGGTCCAGGGAGGACCGATATGTCGTCGAAAGTTTGTTCCAGCCACAGTACTGATTTTTTATTCTTTGTATTCAGGGTTAAGCGCTAAACCCATAAGGGTCATACAACGTCTGTGGAATGGGAGGTAATTAAGTTTTGTCAGAGAGGTTAACTCCATTTCCTTGGGTCAAGAGCCCTTTTATCAGCGTCAAGGCACCGGTAATAGCGTTATTTTACTGATGTGAAGGATCATAATATGCGGAGCTAAAATACTGTAACTGTTCGTAGTCTTTTGGGTTGTCATGCTGCGAGGTGAGAGTATGGGCAGTGTAAATATACCAACAATCTATTTAGGTAAATGAACACATTGACAACGTTTGAATATTTATTTAGTCTACGTTTCACTCGCCGGGAGTTTATCAAGCATCAGTGTATGTTAACAGGCTAGAACATGGAATATACATTATATGAGGTGTAATATGGGATGGAGTTCAGACATAAAGGGTACACGATAAAAGATTTTAATGCCTGCAGCGGGAGGGGAACATGAGGCATCAAGAGCAAGGGGAGACAAATATATTTATGGAAAGTATGAAGTATAAAATAAATCAATACACACACACACAATATATATATACATATATACATACATACATATATATATATATATATATATATATATATATATATATATATATATATATATATATATATATACATATATGCAAAACAACCACTCTGAAAGAATAGAGAAATTCCAAGCGCTTTCGTGACTACTCACATTATCATGTGAGTAGTCACGAAAGCGCTTGGAATTTCTCTATTCTTTCAGAGTGGTTGTTTTGCATATTTTGAAATCACCTGTTCACTGTGATCTTATTGCATATATATATATATATATATATATAATATATATATATATATATATATATATATATATATATATATATATATATATATATATATGTATGTGTGTGTGTGTGTGTGTGTGTGTGTGTGTGTATTGATTTATTTTATTATTATTATCACACTGGCCGATTCCCAACAAGGCAGGGTGGCCCGAAAAAGAAAAACTTTCACCATCATTCACTCCATCACTGTCTTGCCAGAAGGGTGTTTTACACTAGTTTTTAAACTGCAACATTAACACCCCTCCTTCAGAGTGCAGGCACTGTACTTCCCATCTCCAGGACTCAAGTCCGGCCTGCCGGTTTCCCTGAATCCCTTCATAAATGTTGCTTTGCTCACACTCCAACAGCACGTCAAGTATTAAAAACCATTTGTCTCCATTCACTCCTATCAAACACGCTCACGCATGCCCGCTGGAAGTCCAAGCCCCTCGCACACAAAACCTCCTTTACCCCATCCCTCCAACCTTTCCAAGGCCGACCCCTACCCCGCCTTCCTTCCACTGCAGACTGATACACTCTTGAAGTCATTCTGTTTCGCTCCATTCTCTCTACATGTCCGAACCACCTCAACAACCCTTCCTCAGCCCTCTGGACAACAGTTTTGGCAATCCCGCACCTCCTCCTAACTTCCAAACTACGAATTCTCTGCATTATATTCACACCACACATTGCCTTCAGACATGACATCTCCACTGCCTCCAGCCTTCTCCTTGCTGCAACATTCATCACCCATGCTTCACACCCATACAGGAGCGTTGGTAAAACTATACTCTCATACATTCCCCTCTTTGCTTCTAAGGACAAAGTTCTTTGTCTCCACAGACTCCTAAGTGCACCGCTCACCCTTTTCCCCCTCATCAATTCTATGATTCACCTCATCTTTCATAGACCCATCTGCTGACACGTCCGCTCCCAAATATCTGAATACATTCACCTCCTCCATACTCTCTCCCTCCAATCTGATATCCAATCTTTCATCACTTAATCTTTTTGTTATCCTCATAACCTTACTCTTTCCTGTATTCACTTTCAATTTTCTTCTTTTACACACCCTTCCAAATTCATCCACCAACCTCTGCAACTTCTCTTCAGAATCACCCAAGAGCACAGTGTCATCAGCAAAGAGCAACTGTGACAACTCCCACTTTATGTGTGATTCTTTATCTTTTAACTCCACACCTCTTGCCAAGACCCTCGCATTTACTTCTCTTACAACCCCATCTATAAATATATTGAACAACCACGTGACATCACACATCCTTGTCTAAGGCCTACTTTTACTGGGAAATAATTTCCCTCTTTCCTACACACTCTAACTTGAGCCTCACTATCATCGTAAAAACTTCACTGCTTTCAGTAACCTACCTCCTATACCATACATCTGCCACATTGCCCCCCTATCCACCCTGTCGTACGTTTTCCAAATCCATAAATGCCACAAAAACCTCTTTAGCCTTATCTAAATACTGTTCACTTATATGTTTCACTGTAAACACCTGGTCCACATACCCCCTACCTTTCCTAAAGCCTCCTTGTTCATCTGCTATCCTATTCTCTGTCTTACTCTTAATTCTTTCAATAACAACTCTACCATACGAAATATAAACACAAATGCAGTATGTGCAAGAAAGGTATAAAATACCGACAATATGAAAGTTAAGACACATGTGCAACATCTGGATATCTTTATTGTAGTAGACGTTTCGCCATCCAGTGGCTTTATCAATACAGATTCTAGGACATAATAGGAAGACAGTAGAACTATATACAAAAGATGAGGTAATCAGTCCCTCGGCCTTGGAGTTAGTGTTCACAGCATCGTGGTGGAGGAGAGTCTGGAGCAAAGGCAAGAAGACTGGCGCTTTTTATAGGCGTCAGTGAATGGGACGGGCAGCAGACGAGGGCAGTCACTGGTAGGCGGGATTCCCCAGTGGAAGTAGGTCCTTCCCAAAGACATGGGTTAGTTGCAGCAGCCGTGAAGAAGGTCTTGTAGATGTCCTCTGAACCAAGATTCCATGATGTTGCAGTGTCTGACAAGTTGTGCAAGAAAGGTATAAAATACCGACAATATGAAAGTTAAGACACATGTGCAACATCTGGATATCTTTATTGTAGTAGACGTCTTAACTTTCATATTGTCGGTATTTTATACCTTTCTTGCACAACTTGTCAGACACTGCAACATCATGGAATCTTGGTTCAGAGGACATCTACAAGACCTTCTTCACGGCTGCTGCAACTAACCCATGTCTTTGGGAAGGACCTACTTCCACTGGGGAATCCCGCCTACCAGTGACTGCCCTCGTCTGCTGCCCGTCCCATTCACTGACGCCTATAAAAAGCGCCAGTCTTCTTGCCTTTGCTCCAGACTCTCCTCCACCACGATGATGTGAACACTAACTCCAAGGCCGAGGGACTGATTACCTCATCTTTTGTATATAGTTCTACTGTCTTCCTATTATGTCCTAGAATCTTTATTGATAAAGCCACTGGATGGCGAAACGTCTACTACAATAAAGATATCCAGATGTTGCACATGTGTCTTAACTTTCACAAATGCAGTATAATGTGATCCCACATAAGAACATAGAACACTGAAGAAGGTCTACAACTTGTCCAATACCCCTGCCAAGCTACCCAAGACTCCATAACCCCACCCGGTAGATCATCAGATGCAGCATTCTCCACCTGACCTCAACATTCTGAACATGACTATAAATACTCTCGTACCTTCCAACCCCAGGTAGATCCGTGTGTGACTTGAAAAAGCCCACTGTGTGGGTGAAACGTTGTCAATAAAGGATCACATTATACTGCATTTGTGTTTATATTTCCATTGTGTCGATATTTTATACCATTTATTTCCAACTCTACCATACACTTTACCAGGTGTACTCAACAGACTTATCCCCCTATAATTTTTGCACTCTCTTTTGTCCCCTTTGCCTTTATACAAAGGAACTATGCATGCTCTCTGCCAATCCCTAGGTACCTTACCTTCTTCCATACATTTATTAAATAATAGCACCAACCACTCCAAAACTATATCCCCACCTGCTTTTAACATTTCTATCTTTATCCCATCAATCCTAGCTGCCTTACCCCCTTTCTTTCTACCTACTGCCTTACGAACTTCCCCACACACTCACAACTGGCTCCTCCTCACTCCTACAAGATGTTATTCCTCCTTGCCCTATACACGAAATCACAGCTTCTCTATCTTCATCAACGTTCAACAATTCCTCAAAATATTCCCTCCATCTTCCCAATACCTCTAACTCTCCATTTAATAACTCTCCTCTCCTATTTTTAACTGACAAATCCATTTGTTCTCTAGGCTTCCATAACTTGTTAATCTCACTCCAAAACTTTTTCTTATTTTCAACAAAATTTGTTGATAACATCTCACCCACTCTCATTTGCTCTCTTTTTACATTGCTTCACCACTCTCTTAACCTCTCTCTTTTTCTCCATATACTCTTCCCTCCTTGCATCACTTCTACTTTGTAAAAACTTCTCATATGCTAACTTAAGAACAAAAGAAAGAAGGAACACTGCAGCAGGCCTACTGGCCCATGCGAGGCAGGTCCAACTCTCCTACCGGCTTAAGCCAATGCCCCAACCTAGTCAGGTCAGGTCACATTCACTTAAGGAAGAAGCACGGCATCTGACCTAGTAGCACAAGCTAGTCAGGTCCAACTCACACCCACCCGCACCCACTCGTGTATTTATCTAACCTATTTTTAAAACTATAAATGTTTTAGCCTCTATAACTGTACTTGGGAGTTTGTTTCACTCATCCACAACTCTATTACCAAACCAGTGCTTTCCTATATCCTTCCTGAACCTGAACTTTTCCAACCTAAAGCCATTGCTGCGAGTCCTGTCTATGTTAGATATTTTTAGCACGCTATTTACATCCCCTTTATTTATTCCTGTTTTCCATTTATACACCTCAATCATATCTCCCCTAATTCTACGCCTTTCTAGAGAGTGCAGATTCAGGGTCCTTAGTCTATCCTCATAGGGAAGATTTCTGATACATGGGATCAACTTTGTCATCCTCCTTTGTAAGTTTTCCAGTGCATTTATATCCATTCTATAATACAGTGACAAGAACTATGCAGCATAATCTAAATGAGGCCTCACCAAAGATATACAGAGTTGAAGAACAACCTGAGGATTCCTATTATTTATGCTTCTTGATATGAAGCCAAGGATTCTGTTTGCTTTATTGCAAACACTTATGCACTGTTGTCTTGGTTTTAAGATTACTGCTAGCCAGAACTCCCAAATCTTTTTCGCAATCAATAATATTAAGATCTAAATTATTTAGTTTATATGTGGCATGGTTATTTTCCTCTGTCTATATTAAACTGCATCTGCCACTTCTCCGACCACTGCATCAATCTATTCAAACCCTCCTGGAGTGCTCTAATGTCCTCTTCAGAATAAATTCGACGGCCTATTTTGGTGTCATCGGCAAACTTGCTTATGTCGCTATTTATTCCCTCATTTATGTTGTTTATGTAGATTGTGAACAACAAAGGGCCCAACACTGACCCTTGTGGAACATCGCTTGTGACGCATCCCCACTCTGATTTCTCCCCATTTATGCAAACTCTCTGCTGCCTTTCAACCATGCCTCTATCCAAGAAAAAATTTCTCCTCCTATTCCGTGTGTCTTAAGTTTCCTCAATAGTCTCTGATGTGGAACTCTATCAAAAGCTTTACTGAAGTCCTTACACACTATATCATATTCATTACCATGATCTACCTCCTCAAATACCTTAGTGAAAAAAGTTAATAAATTCGTAAGGCAGGAACACCCTTTAGGTATTACCACATATATAATAGGTATTAACATATACGATAGGTATTAACACATATATAATAGGTAATACGAGGCCTGGTCACAGACCGGATCGCGGTGGTGTTAATCCCCAAACCCTCTCCAGGTATTTCCAGGTATATATAATAGGTATTAAGTGATGGTCATGTTGTAGGATCTCCAGACTGTACCTCCTAAATATAAAAGCTACCTGTTATGGGTCTACCTACCTACATGGAGGGTGTTCCGGGGGTCAACGCCCCCGCGGCCCAGTCCTTGACCAGGCCCCCCCCGTGGATCAGGGCTTGATCAATCAGGCTGTTACTGCTGATTGCATATAGTCCAACGTACAAATGCAGCCCGGCTGATCGGGTGCTGACCTAAAGTCAGCTCCCTCTTGAAGGCAGCCAGGGGTCTATTGGTAATTCCCCTTATGCCTGGTGGGAGGCTGTTGAACAGTCTTGGTCCCTGGTCACTTACTGTGTTTTCTCTTAGTGCACAAATGGCGCCCCTACTTTTCAGTGGGAGTATGCTGCACCATTAGCCCAGTCTTTTGCTTTCGTTGGGAGAGATTTCTGTGTGCAGATTTGGGACCAGTCCCTCTAGGACTTTCCAGGTGTAAATTAAATTATGACGTATCTCTATCTTGCCTGCGCTTCAGTGAGTACACGTCACGTGACTCCAAGCGTTCCCAGTAATTAAGGTGTTTGACGGAACTTATATGTGCAGTAAAGGTTCTCTGTACATATTCTATATCTGCGATTTCACCTGCCTTGAATGGAGCTGCTAGTTAGTGTACAGCAGCATTCCAGCCTAGCAGATGTGATAGTGATGCTGTTGTGATCCTTAAGGTGAGATCTTCTGACATTAACACTCCCAAGTCTTTCACACTACTTTTCCGCTCTATTGTGTGATTAAAATTTGTAGTATACTCAGTTCTAGCTATTATTTCCTTTAGTTTCCATAACAGAAGTTAAAATTTGTCCTCATTAGACATCATATTGCTTTCTTTTGCCCATTGGAAAACTTGGTTTATATCTGCTTGGAGATTTACCGTGTCCTCAATGGATGACAGTCTCACATACATTCTAGTATCGTCTACAAAAGATAAGACGATGCTATGGTTTACATCTCTGTCTATGTTTGATATGAGGATGAGTAACAGGATGAGGACGAGTACAGTGCCTTGTGGAACAGCTTTTCACTCGGGCAGCCTCCGACTTAACTCTGTTTTCCACTACTCTTTTGTTAGACTGGTTAGAAAGTTGAAGCTCCTTCAGCCCACATAGCACGCATTTTGTGCGCTATTACACTTGTCAAAGGATTTTGCAAAACCTGCGTATACTACATCTGATTTCTGTCTGTCTTCCATTGCATCATAGTGGTCCAGTAGTTACGAGAGGCAGACTCGACCTGATCTAAATTCATGCTGCCCTGGATTGTGCAATTGTTGGGAATCCAAGTGATTTGCGATCATGTTTTTTAGAACTCTTTCAAAGATTTTTATGATGTGGGACGTCCGAGTTATTGGGTAATTGTACATGTAATTGAAATGAAAGCCGCTGCTAGACACCTCTTGTGAAACTGTCGATATTCCTTTCCGCGTCTTTCTGCTTCATGGGATGACTGTGAGAGCTGCGATGGCTCACATCCGCGTTGCTCATGTTATCTGCAGTACAAGTTTATTTGTGTTCTCAGATACAAATATTCAAATACCTTTATGTTTCACAAACACACTTTTAAGCAACCCTCTCATGGCGTAATGTAAATGCCAGCACTGCTGCTTTCAAGACTGATTTTCTTACTGTTGGTTAAGTCTTTAATGGCGGAGTTGGTGGCTGTATGCTACTGTATTACATACCGAGAAGACCTTGATTATGTTCCCAGATGCTTTGTTGTTAGAGTGGATGATATATGATTTATATGATTTCTGTCCTGGGCATGTTGAATATCTATCACAGCTCGCTTCTTACAGTCACCGAGGAAAAAAAAAAGGAAGGAAACTGCAATGAATTAACTAGAAGTAAAGCAGCCGGTCTTCAACCGAAAAGCTCACTTAAACATTCCATGTGGGGACTGCCAAAAAGTAAACATCAATCATATCTGTTTTTAAAACTACTTGTGGAGTTTGCCTCCTTTACTTTTATATGCGGCTAATTCCACTTTCCATCTATCCGGAGAGAGAAGTACTTCCTAACATCCCTATGAAATGCTTTTAGGTTCATCTTTGTTCCATGTTTCTAATCCTTAGATTTCAAACAGTTTGTCCTTATCCGCTTTATCAATTCTCCTCTAGTTTTCTCTTCCAGGTTAGTTATATTCGATTGTGTGGTATTTGTCCTGTATGCATGAAGTTTTATTGGCTCCGGTAGAGGGGCTAGTATTCCAGAATATAAAAGTGTAACTGCTACAGTATATAAGGGCTGGACAAGGAACAAACAAAGGGAGGAAGGACGGTGTATTTAAATGTGCACCAAAGGAGAACGTTTCTAAGGACAGAGAAGGAAACATGCAGAACTGGGTGTTTCGCGAAATACAGTGGTCCAGTGTGTAATTACCTATTGTGAGTTACCTATTTTGATGTCCTGTCTTCTGTTAGAATTTTATTGTATAAGCGTTTAAAATTCTCACTAGTTTTAACTCTGTTTCTTCTGTTTTCATTCCAGCTATCTACCACTATTTTCAAAATAATATTTTCCAATACCTCTTCGACAATGGTTCCTTGCCCATTTTTTCAGTGCCGTTTATAAATGAATATGCAGTATTATATTTCTCTTGTTTTCCAACGAATGCAGTAAATAAGTTTGGTGCTCACCCGATGTGAGGGACGTTAGTAGTAATGTGGTAACAGCGAGGGGAGTAAATGAGTGTAATACTCACCTGATGTAAGGAACGTTGGCAGGAATGTGGAACTTAGCGCCAGGGTCGAAGTCATCTTCATCTCTGGGAAGGGGCGGTGACACGCCCTGCAGGGACAATCGGAGCTCCCACCATCGACGGTTGAGGGATAACTCTCCAGTCTTCCCGCTGAATACTTCCCACCGCCACTGTTGAGGACACGTCACTTATTGCAATACACATATGCTGCTAATATTGCTGTGTCAATGAACAATGTATTTTTGAGTGACAGAACATAATTTTGAGTTTAACAGACGCTTAAAAACTAGAAAGAGCTAACAAATGAATTTGAAAAAAAACAGAATTTGCAGATCCACTGAACATTACAAAGAAATGTATCGAGGATAGAGATAGTAACAAGATCAGCACGATACAATATGAGACTGCTAGACTTGGCGATACTGCAAGGACAATACCTATGGCAGTTCTGCTTATATTGAGATTTGAATCAAATGAAATGTAAATTGTGTGGGCAAAGACAAGGTCACACACATAAACGCTATATCACAGATCGTTCAATAATATAATCCCTTAATAGAAGTGTAAACAAATAAAAAATAACTTAATGATATATGAAATCTTGAGTTTACATTCTGAATCATCTGAGTAAACAAACAACAGTACCATATACCGTACTGAGATGATAATCTATCAAATTATTAAACTGTAATATTCAAAGATCAAATCATTTCTTCGGTGGTTCTGCTAAAGACACTGATTCATTCCTTCTGTTAGTACCGCTCACTGGATGAGCTGCGGGTGCGGCAGCGCCGTATAGCCCTTGTGGTTTAGCGCTTCTTTTTTATTGTAATAATAATAATGCGGGTGCGCTATCATTAACCGCTCAGGAAGAATAATTAATAAATCGCAAATATTCAGCAATCAATCTTTAATACATAGGACTCACTAAATCCACCAAGTATCCAAAAGGCAGAAAAGCTATCTTATCCAGAGCCATGGTAAAGAGGAAGTTGATGTCGGTCTCGTAGGAGTCATCGACGTTCTCCAACAGACCGATGGACTGGAGGTGGTGGGGGGTGGAGGCAGACAATGCTAGTACATCCCCCACTGCTTCGTGGAATCCGGGATTAGCGCCATCTCTGCCGAAATACATGGTGAAAGAGTGTTAACACCGGTTCAAATAAATTAAATAACATTCAAAATACGATCAAAGTGACATTACAACCAATTCAGAAGTACAAGATAGAATCATTAAAGGTTCAGTAAGAGAATAAACAAACTGTGTATGCACAGAAGGGGGTGATGTGAACAAGTGATACTGATAGTTGTAACTACTTCAAGATGAAAGGCTGACAGACGTACCTACCTGGAAATGAAAGGTTGGTAGCGGTACCTACCTGGAAATGAAAGGTTGGTAGCGGTACCTACCTGAAGATGAAAGGTTGGTTGCGGTACTGAATGTCGTACTGAATGTGACCCATCTCGTGGTGAATGGTAATGAGGTCTTCTGTCGTCACTCGAGTACACTGCTTGATCCTAGTTACGCCACAAAGAAGTAACTTAGAAATCCGTTTACAAATTTATTATCAAAACATTACACAATCATCCACAACTCGCCCACAAAACTGAAGGAGAAATTATGACGAGGCTTCGGTCTGTCCTGAACCATTCCATGAACATACCAATAAGCCATGATTAAAGATTCTGTTGTACATTTAATAGTTTTATAAAAGCAAGTTTATTTGTGTAATAAGTAAGTAAGTAAGTTTATTCAGGTATACACAAATACAGTTACATAGAATTATCATACATAGCAGCATATGTGTAGAGAACCTAGGATAACCCAAAAAAGTCAGACAGAGTGACTTATTTCCATTGGGGGTATGTGTAGCTACCCTATTTCGCGGCTTATTAGACGCATTTTTCCCATAAAATGTCTCCAAAAACCACCCTGCGTCCTATAAACTGAAAGTCAGTGAGGGGAGCTATATGTTTGGGGCTGTGGCGTGGGCTGGGCTCTCCCAGTTACGTCCGATGCAGAGCCATTGAAACTAAAGTCCAATGTTTCAAAATTACAGTAAATTAATAACGTTTTGAGACAAGCTATTTATGAAATACGGATACTGTACTGGGATACTGACAGAAAACGATATTCCTCCTTAAGTAACACCTTCCTTTCTTATTAAACTATTGCAGTCACAAAGCAGCGTCATTTATGGTAGGAACTTGAAAATAACGTTACCGTAGACTGCGCTATCGTTAGCACATGCTGGGTATTTTCACTTTATTACTAGGTATCGGTAATCATATTTACCGTATGTTATGGTACTTATAGTGTCAATTATTTCCAAGGGAATAAGGTGGCCCAACAACAGCTGAAGCAGCCATTTTTGTTTATACAAAGAGTCACGGACAAAGACGCATCAGTATGAACTCCGGGACCCTCACTATATAGTTACGCACAGAGCAGCAACTCAGCTACCAGCGACTGTTTTATCAGTTCAAATTGAGAGACCATCGGGGTGTTCAGGTGAGCACTAGGCCTTTGTTTTAATATCTTTATTATGCACCTCATACTAATCTGTGGGCGGTAGTCAAAGGATTAGAGGTACATAATGGGTCCAGGGACTGGGCCCCAAAGTTTTGAAAGCTAAACAAGGTACAGAGGTAGTGAACTCACAAGTTACAAAGGTAATGAATCATGCAAGCACTAGGCCTATCGTATGTTTTGACCTACCCATAAATCAAACATAATCTTATTTCTGCATGTAAAATTACCACAGGTTTCAGTGGAGTAAATATTACCTGGTATTAGGCACACTTAGCTTTTTTTCTGATTATTACCTTCTAAACCGGGATGCGTCTAATGCATCGGAACGTCTAATAAGCCGCAAAATATGGTATTTTGTCTATCTGTTCATTCATCGTTATTTATGCCTAGTCTTGAAGAACGAAACACTTGTGCAACACTGGAGTATTTTTATTGTGGAAACGTTTCGCCAGCAAGTGGAGAATGGTGGAAGAAGAGACTGAAGTAGTTAGTCCCTTAGCCTGAAGATGTGGTCAGTCCACCAATCCTGATAAAAGTACAGCACATGCTGTTTGTTGTTTTATTTATCAGGAGACTGGACAAGTGTCTCTTGACACGGGTCTTAACCATTGTACAGCACATGCAGCGCTGCAGTTGTAGGCTGCGTCTCCAGTGGAAAAATCCACTGGTGTAAGTAGGTCATGCCTATAGGTTTGGGAAGCATTGAAGAATTTCCTGTATCAAGATCCCAAGATGGTTCTGTGTCTGACAGGTATTGTCACATAAATGGTTTAGAAAACCAACAACTGTCGGTTTTCTAAACCGATATGAGGTGGTTAGTCTTCACAGATTACGTGATATGATAATTTCACCCTCGCAGATTCCCTGTACATTTATTCTTTCCGAATAAATATGAACGAGGGACTAGCAGCATCAGCGTCACTCAGGCACATGTAACAGACTTACGTGATTTTTTTTTTATTTAGCAAAATAGGATATATCAGCAATGTACTGCTACCTTATTCTATATGATAGTTACATTATGGGAACGTGAAGACTGTCCCTATGTAAAGTTTTCCCAGCTGCATATTCCCTAGTAAGCTTGACCCTAAAGTTTCTGATCTGGGAGCGAACCTTTGTACTCTATGATAACTGGTTACCTGTAAATGTATGTTAAAGGAGAGATCTGTAGCCTAAACACATGGTTAACAATTAATTCCTAATTTTGGTATTGCAAATTTACCTATTTGGGAAAGTTATCCCACTAATAACTACGACGATCTTTGCTTAACGATAATCAATGGTATATACTGTGACACTGCTAAGTAAATTGTTCATTTCACCAATGGTCAGTCACAACACATACTACGATCTGAGATAGGGGCCTATTTCGTTGGTTGAGTACCTCTTATTAAGAGAGGTGCCTTGGCGCTGGTGAGGTCTTGATCCAAGGAATTGAACCTGAATGCTCCTTCCTTGAATCGAACCTACTGCCTCGTATTTATCCAGGCTTTCTATGACCCCTATGGATTTTGTGCTAACCTCCATACATATCATGATCATTTGTTGAGTAATTCCCAGGTCTCCTGTGCACTTCTAGATAGTTTAACCTGAGTTATTTCGTTAGGCGAGGGTAGAGATTCTAGAGTGGACACACAATAGCTCAGTCAGAATTCTGATAAGTCCGACATACCCTTCTGTAATTTAAAATTACGGAATAATACTCCTCACGAGAAGTTCCTTGATGCTGGGGAGGGGTTCTTTGTCCAAGGACTTGGACTTGTTCCCCCCTTCCTTGACTGAACACAGTCAGTGGGACACAGTTAAGGAAGGGCAAGCCCTAAACCATACGGGTTCAGGGCTTCCCCTTCAATATAATGTTAATAATAATAAAACACACAATAATGGCCGCTCCCCGCCTTTGCGTTCTAGCTAGACGACCAGTGATATTTAATCATCATTAATTAATATCGCTTCCAGTGGCAACAGTTTTCTATTAAATGTAATTTAAATCTTTCTGAATTGATAATAAAGTTTTAATAAATGCGTATTTTTGTTAAGTTCGCGCCCCCTGATTCGAACGCCTTGTTTACATAGAATTTATTACCAAATACTCATAATGAACCTCGGTGGAAGAGTAGAGCCTATGTAGGCAACTTTTAACACAATTATCATTAGTAGCAAATGGTTAACCTATCATACATATATTTTTTTAATTAAATATATTAGTAATCTGAAGTTTCTTGACAGTACAATATTAGAATTTACTAAAAATCCCGTAAAATAAAAGAATTATATATTAAAAATATCTAAATCCTTTAGATAAGAGAAGTGAACATTTACTGTCCACAGAGAGCCTTAAGTATTTTTTTTTGTTTTATCAGATACGACTATCTGCAGAAAGCCTGAAGTCTCTTAGATGTGTGTGGACGTTGACTAACCTGTAGTCGATGCCATTACAGAAGTCCCAGGCTGAGGCGTGGCACACCACCTCCCTGTCGGTAGGTTTGACGATGAGCGATTTCTGCCAGAAACCCAAGGGCATGGGGTCGAGCCCCAGCGACGTGAAGAATTCCTCGGCCAGACGGAACATGTGGAGGGGCATGTAGCCTTGGCGCAGGAGGGAAGCGGTTACGTCTACAGAGGTGCGACCAGGGTATGGAATGGTCAAGTCCTGGGTGTGGGTCCACGTTTGAGCCCACATGTTCCCTGGGAAAGGGAAATATTTATTATATTAGCGAGGAAGCGTTAAATCTTTAAGGGTAATAAAGCACTTGCAGAATACAAGATAATTATGTTTAAACTGAGGAAAGGGGAGAGTAGCTCCAGTTCCTTGAATCAAGGCACCCCTCCGTCTAAAAATACACTTAAGGGAAGGGTGGGGAAAGAGCTGGTATCTAAACCCGTAAACGCTGATATTTAATCGTGGATTACCTAGAAGGTGGGCTGGGATGGGTCCAGAGCGGGGCACCACCTTCTCTCCATACTTTTCCCGCAGTTTCTTCCTGACGTAGGCGTGCAGGTGCTCGTACAGCGGCCGCAGCACATCCCAAAGCTCCTGCAATTCTTTGTGTAAGTCGTCTGTCTCGTAGTCACTCCTCCAATATGCCCCGGCGTCCTCGAACCCTGGAGACGACACATGAATGCTTGGATAATTACATCTTAGTACCACTGATTGAACAGGATCTACAAACTAAATTTTCCATAGCCAAACCAGTGAATACATGCAGCGGTGATTATCAGTTGTAGAAAAATCGATCATTGCCACTCATCCTCCCTGTTCCTTCTCTACCCTGTGATTCCTTCTTTGCTCCTAATTCTCCATCCTTCTGCATCTTCTGCCTCCTAGTTTCTTTGGCCCCTACTCTTCTATCTGCATCGTTCCTCTGTCCCTACTCTTCTATGTCCCTTCCTCGCTAATTTGTCTACCAGGCAACCATTGGACAGGCGGTGGATTGAACACTCCACGACTCCTTGACAAATCTCCTGCCTCGACACTTCTCCATTAAATTTTTGCTGGGCTCGTTCTTTTACACATGTTGCCCTTGTTAACCTAGCAATAATTCATAGCCGTGCATTATGGGTAGCATCCTAGGATAGAGGATCAAAGAACCTCAACAGAAATAAGCCACACTCATTGACTTTCTAGGGTTATCCTGCATTGTTATCCTACATTACTAAACCCTCTAGGTCAAAAATCCGAATAAAACCTTCATCCTGTGTTGCTGCCCTTCTCTATCTGCAGAATTATTATTTTCATCCACCTTTCTCTTTTCCCCTCAGCACTTACCATTGAGCCTGGCGGCCTCATTGGCCAGCTGGACGAAGCGGATGTACTTGTGTCTGAGCGGCTTGCCCGCAGCCTCCCGCCATGCCCGCCACACATAGCGCAGTTCCTCAGGGTCCCGCGACCTCGCCATGATCTGCGTCACTTCTGTAACCGTACTAATAAATGAGCACCTGTGACAGTGATGGTGGGGTGGAAGGAAAGAACTATTGACTTCAAGGATTACCGAGTCCGAAAGGACGTTCAGTGGTCTGTAACACAACACATCAACATACACAATTATATCCACACAAATAAAAATCTCGCCACACTAACAACTACCACACATAGTCATATCAATAATGAAATACTGCAATAAATACTATCACTTACAATAAGTTAAAAAATAATCTGGCTGCGTTTAACGAACGGAGGATCGAGTTTCCATAACACCCTGTGCTTAATACCCATAGTGAGTTTGCATATAATGTAAATATATAATCTCTGCTCCTTCTTTAAAAATACAACCACTGAAATAATACACACACACACAAAAAAATTAAAAGTTTACTAAGTCCGGACAAGCATTTCGATGATAATAATGATAATGATCTTGTTCTGCTAGAGTCGCAAAAATATAACCAGTTAACAGCACGTCGTGTAAGAAAGGTATAAAATACCGACAATATGAAAGTTAAGACACATGTGCAACATCTGGATATCTTTATTGTAGACGTTTCGCCATCCAGTGGCTTTATCAATACAGATTCTAGGACATAATAGGAAGACAGTAGAACTATATACAAAAGATGAGGTAATCAGTCCCTCGGCCTTGGAGTTAGTGTTCACAGCATCGTGGTGGAGGAGAATCTGGATTCTCCTCCACCACGATGCTGTGAACACTAACTCCAAGGCCGAGGGACTGATTACCTCATCTTTTGTATATAGTTCTACTGTCTTCCTATTATGTCCTAGAATCTGTATTGATAAAGCCACTGGATGGCGAAACGTCTACAATAAAGATATCCAGATGTTGCACATGTGTCTTAACTTTCATAACAGCACGTCACAAACCACATAAAGGGTCCGGAGATTCTACACGCAGGTAATTATGTGTGAGATGCGTAAGCCCAATCCCTAATATACAGTGAATAGTTTCATTGTAGAAACTGTTGTTGAAAAAATACAACCACATACTGCCTAACCGTGTACAGCTTGGTACTCGTGGGCTTGAAACCTCCGAAAGCCATGTAAAGTTTGATGTGGACCAAAAAGTCATTGAGAAATAGGTCTGCTAAAGAGCATACTCGATATAGAAGCCTTTGCTATTGCTATATCGAGCATGCTCATGGCCCGGGCACCAACAGAGCTCCACTCTTGCTATGTAAGGCGTGAGGGCGGCTGTTGAATGCGACAACTGGCACAACTTACCGGGCTCCAGGCTGAGTGTGGGGACGCAGCCGATTTCGTTGTCCTCAGCATCGAAGTCGGCGTAGTAGTCGTAGTCGCCGTTGGGGAGTCGGCGTTGCGTGGAGTCGTACTTGCAGATTTTGGCCGTGGAATATGTGGTCTTCATGTCCTGCACCAGCTCCGACAGCTGAAAGTGGAAGTCACCAGTGGGATTTGGGTAATTTATATAGTGTATACACTGTCTTGCTCTCCTGCTTCTTAATTTTAGTATTTATACATTATTTTAACAAGCACATATATATTGTCGTCACAATTTGTATTAATATTTGATTTAGATTTAGATTTTGCCGCAGAAGTGGCATGGTTCATGTGTTTATATGCTCATCTCTCTTTTCTCTCGCCACCCACTTCCTTTACTTTATATTTCTCTCTTCTTCCTTCTCACTTTTCTGTTTTCCTAACTCCTTCATTCTTTCTTACTCTTCTTTCCTTCCTCTCTGTCCCCTCAATTCTAATCTTCTCTTTCCTTTTCTCCTTCCTGTCTTTCATCCTGTCCTCCATGTTAACATTATCTTCCCTACCTCCCTCTTCCGCCAATTTCTCTCTCCCATCATGTTCACTCCTCCTTTTCCTCCCACCTACCTCTTGCAGCTTCTCCTTGGGAAGAGCAGCCTTCCCCAGAACTGTGACGAAGGAGAACATTCTCCTGACGAGAGGATTAGTGAAGTTCTTCCAGGCGAAGGTGGTGGCTTGCTTCCACTTGTTGCGGTGGAACTCAGACCACTCCATCTGCCGCAAAAGCTGTACACACAAAATAAAAAAAAATGAAAAATTATGTAACAACTTGTTAAAAAAATACTGCATAAAATCCGGGAATAAAATAGAAAAAAAGTAAGGGAAACGAAAAATTTATAGGAAAGTGTGAGGAGGGAAAAATTAGAAACAAAATAAATAAATATAGTAAGAAGGTAAAAGAAGCTAGAGAATGTAATATATATAGAGAAAACGTGGAAAAATACTAAATTTATACATCCTAAATTTCTCTTTATTTAGCAAAATTGGAGGCATCGGCAGTGTGCCACTACCCTATTATATACGATAGTTACACCGTGGTAACAAACGCAAACTGTCCCGTACGTAGAGAAGGAGGAACACGACTACTGTGTTCCTTTAGTATTAGGTTCCTTCATATTTCCTATATTTACTCCTGTTCACAGGAGGAAATAATAACTAGAACTAAGTATACTACGAACTCCAATCACACAATAGAGCGGAAAAGTAATGTGAAGGACCTGGGTGTGGTAATGTCCGAAGACCTCACCTTCAAGGACCACAACAATGCCACTATCACATCTGCGAGGAAACTGATAGGATGGATAATGAGAACATTCAAGACAAGAGATGCTAAGCCAGTGATGATCCTTTTTAAATAACTTATTCTTTCTAGGCTGGAATACTGCTGTACATTAACATCCCCATTCAAGGCAGATGAAATTGCAGATCTAGAGAATGTACAGAGAACCTTTACTGCACGTATAAGTTCCATCAAACACCTTAATTACTGGGAGCGCCTGGAAGCACTTGACCTGTACTCACTGGAGCGCAGGCGAGATTCTGGAGGGACTGGTCCCCAACATGCACACAGCAATCACTCCATACGAAAGCAAAAGACTTGGCAGGCGATGCAACATACCCCCAGTGAAAAGTAGGGGCGCCACTGGTACACTAAGAGAAAACACAATAAGTGTCCGGGGCCCAAGACTGTTCAACAGCCTCCCACCAGCAATAAGGGGCATTACGGGAAGACCCCTGGTTGTCTTCAAGAGGGAGCTGGACAGATACCTAAAGATGGTGCCTGATCAGCCGGGCTGTGGTTCGTACGTTGGATTGCGTGCGGCCAGCAGTAACAGCCTCGTTGATCAGGCCCTGATCCACCGGGAGGCCTAGTCGTGGACCGGGCCGCGGGGGCGTTGATCCCCGGAATGCCCTCCAGGTAGATTCCAGGTAGGTAGACATAAAAGTAAATGAATACCTAGGCCAGGGTTGACTAACCTTTATAAGCTTGTGCATCCCTAACTAAATCTATCCCAACGCAAACACCACTCTCACAAAATTTTCTGGTAGCAAAAAAAAAAAAAAAAAATCCGAAATACATTGGCTGATTATTGTCCTTGATTCATAATAAATTCCATTGTTTAGAATTAATAAAATGTTCGTTTACAAAAGAAGAGAATAAAATACTACAGTATACTAGGGACAGTTCTTCAGTGAAATATTTGGGAATTCCCTTTGACTCAGACATGTCAGGAGAATTGATAGTCAACAATGTGGTAAAAAAAAAAAAAAAAAAGAGAATGCTAGGCTAAAGTTCCTTTATAAACAGGCAGTGACCGAGGCTCGCAGGACCTTACGTCTAGCTCTTATACACTGTTGTAAATTATTCTTATTCTTCATGAAACTCTGCTTTAAAAAAAAAGATGAAAGACGGACTACATATCACTAAGAACAAAATGTTAAGATTCATCCTGGGCCTGGGTCCAGGAGAGCATGTAAGGCTGAATTACAGAAACTGGACATGCTGAATGTTGAAGACAGAGTAAAACAGCAGAAGTTAAATCATATTATATAAGATTTCCCACAAGCAGTGTTTAGAATATCGTGCTGCGAAGTTTGTCGAGGTTTAGAACCAAAACCTGTATGAAACTAAGGGAAGTGAACACAATTTTGCAGTGCCTACAGCAGGTGGTCAGGCCTGAAATACCTTTTATTACACAACAATAAAAGAGGTGAACGGATTACCTGAACATGTCAATGCCAGTCCTAGCATGAGACAGTTCAGGAAGAGCTAAAAGGCTCCTAACGAAAGAAGCTACAGAAAGGGAGGAGAGTGTTTTCTTGTGTAGTTAATATTCGTGTACCTATTATTGTACGCTGATTTTCTCTATTTAATGTTCATGTAAATAACTCACTTCACTTTATTCCTATGGTACCTCTTTTTATTGTATCTGATTTTCACGCAGTTACTTAGTTGTTTAAATGTTAAAGGTTATAATCGTGACATGTCACAAGCCACATATTGTCTTATTCACATACTTGTCAGTATATTGTGCTGCTGATATACATACCCTCTCCAGGTAAACCTGACGATGTAGAAAGGAGATAGCACCACTAGATACAAATAGTCAGTTATTCATGTCTGTGGATGATATAGCTGCTTACCAGTGCACTTAATGTTTCATTTAGGTATTCTTCGAGCCCCATAACTGCTTCCAGTATACTCAACAAATGTTTTATTGAGGTATCCCTCGAGCCCCGGGGCTGCCTATCTGTGCACTCAACGGTGAGCATTTGAAGTTCATTCTAATAACTGGCTCCTCAAGCTTGATACCTCAGTTCAGCAATATTTTGAAATTAAAAAAAAAAAACAGTTCCATCATTCCCATTAATCTTGTACCAGCTTTTCTCATATGCAGTTCAATAAATGATTATATTGTCAGAGCACTGGCTTATGTTTGACATTTTTACTCATTATATATCATTTCTCAGTGTAATTATGTATTGTTTCTTCGTAGTTGTCAAATAAAACTTATTCATTTATTTATTTTTATTTATAAGACTGATTTTGCTTTTTGGCCCGGGAAAATGTGTAAAATATACGATGTGGTCATCGTTATGAAAAGTTCGGAGGCCCCTGTACCTCTGTAATCTTTTGACTACCGCCCACAGGATGGGTATGGGGTGCATAATAAACATATTAAACTAAAAACCCTGGCAGCTCTAGCCCCCCATAGCTGCATACTACTACACACTGAACATGTTTCACTTAGGTATCCCACGAGTCCCGCACAAAGGCGCTACATCACTATTGGCTGGAGACAATTTTTTTTTAAATCCTTGAGATGATTATCAAGTTCCGGATGTCAGCGGATGGATCTCCATGTAATGAGTCCATGAGCCATGACTCATCCACCCTGAGTTGAGACCTGGGCGTGGCCGCTGGTAGTGATGGTTGGTATTACTGCAATGGTGTTGGTTAGTATATTAGTGCCTGGAGTGCAGTGGTAGTTTTGGTATAAGTTCTATATAATAATGGTTACTGATATTAATGCAGTGGCAATTGCTAGTATTAGTGTAGTGGTGGTAGTTGTTGATATTAATGTAATGGTAAATGTATTAGGATAGTAGAGATTGTTGTTATCAGTGTAGTGAAGGTTATTATTATGGTAGGTGTTGGTAGTCCTGTAGTGGTGGTTGTACGTGTTACTGTAGTTGTGACTGTTGGTAGTACTATAGTGGTGGTTGTTGGTATTACTGCAGTGGTAGTTGTTGGTATTACTGCAGTGGTGGCTGATGGTATTACTCCAGTGGTAACTGTTGGTGTTACTGCAGTGGTGGTTGTTAGTAGTACTGCAGCGGTAGTTGTTGGTATTACTGCAGTGGTAGTTATTGGTATTACTGCAGTGGTGGTTGTTAGTAGTATTGGATTGGTATGGATGTTATTAAGATAGGAGTAGGGAAAAGCGTTCTGCGTAGGTATGGATGATGAGGTAAGAGCATAGTGCATAGGTATGGATGCTGAAGTAGGAGGGAACAGTGTTGTGCGTAGGTATTGATGTTGCGGTAGTAGCATCGTACGTAGGTATGGATGCTGAGGTAAGAGCATAGTGCGTAATAAGCGAGACCTCGCCACCTTCGCGTCCCTCACCTCTGCGAATCATTAGCACATTATTATTCTCCTTTCCACACTTACTGTGGTGGGTGGCGGGCGGGGCACATACCGCAGGAAGTTCCATTCCCCCCTCCCTGTGTCCACAGCACCAACACTGCTACCGTGACCTGTAGCTTGTTTAGAGCACTCGGCAAGGATATATATAACGGAGAAGTAAATGTCGCTTGTTTTAATCACTAAGAGATTAAAGCATTTTTGACTGGTGGTAAACAGGTTACATGTAGTCTTCGTAACCCTTGCGTAGTCGAAAGGCTTTGAACACAATTAACCAACCAGTTGGAGCATGCCCTGAGCTGAACCTCCTGTCAGAGAAGGCAAGTAAGGACTGCCCTTACTCTCATACTAGTATATAAGTACATGAGTGTTAGTCTACTGCTGGGAGTCGCATTATAAGGGAAAATGTGCAATTTGAATAGTGTAGGAGACTCCAAACTGCTGGCACAGTAGTCTTAAGCTGGGTAAGAATTGCACACAATGTCGGTATTAAAGAATAATTTCGGAACTGCTGGAAAGATTTAAGTGTTAGCTAAAAGTTGTTCTCACACTGTTGCACATTTAATGATGATAATTAAAAAAAAAATCCCACCTGCTTTGAGATATGTTGTTTAGAGGGATATCTGAAGTGTTGTATCTGCGCGCCTCCGGAAAGACAGTGATAGTGTGAATGATGGTGAAAGTTTTCTTTTTCGGGTAACTTTGCCTCGGTGGAAGACTGCCAGCGTGTTAAAAAAACAAATTAACAAAATATAGCCGCCACTGTTCTAAATCTCCCTGGTATCCCCATCATTATCTGTATTACTCTTACAATACTCGTCTGGCTCACCCAGGCTGTTGTTTCAGTTAGGAAAAATTACGTGGAGTGGGTCTTCATCATGTGAAGACCTATTCGGTACCGAGTTGCCATATTTTTCTTTATCAGAACTATCGTAGTGCTTAGAAACTGGTTTCTCTAACTTTGAAAATTAGGGTTATCCCAAAAAAAGGGTAGAATAATAATAATCATAAAGGAATATTGAATAATTTTGTCACAATGGATTATGTTTCCTTGTGTTTGACCCCTCAAGGAAGGTTC